ATTCGATTGAATCAAAAATATTATGCAATGGTGCATACACACATACACACATACACACATATATATCATATATAATAAGATTTCATAGTCCAATAATGAATAATCCAATGCCATATCATAATCCATGCCATATCACGAATTTTTAAGGTAACTGTAAAACTATTTACAATATTTATAAGCAATAATAAAATTTAATCAAATTACTTTTTAATCAAAATTTGGAAATATTAAATTTAAAATTTGAACACATGTAAACATTACCAGCAAACGACAAATTATTATTATATTTTTTTTTGAAGAGTTTTAAACTTAAAAAGTTACTGCGCGATACCAAAAAATACCACGCGTTACCGTACGAGTAGTAAAGTTTTTTTTAAAAAACAGTAAGTTTTTAAAAAAATATGCGCGTTATATATATGTGCGATATATATTTATTATATATATACACATCTATAATATACTGTATATAAGACTAATTATGGTTAATTATAAAAAATTTCATTTAGAAAATCCGAATACTAATTTTAGACAAAACAATCTTGATACAAGCGCATGTAGTGTATTTTTTTTTTTCAAAAAACCCCTCAAAATGTAACAAGATTAATATTCTTGGAACAGTTTTTACACAAATAATTTATTAAATTTTATATGTGCTTTTTATAGAAAAAAAAAAAAAAAAAATTTTTTTTTTTTTTTTTGGATATATATAGATTTAAGTTATAACTGCAAAAACTGCGGGAATGTTTCAAAAAAAAAAAGGGACTTTTTAAGGCTAAAAAAAATCAAAATTTATTTTTTATTTAGGCATCAAATAATTGTAATGCAGAAATTAGAATAATCCAGTTTAAATACGTATTTTTATTGCCTTAATAAGAAATTTATGTAAAATGAAGTATAACAATGACGGACACATGCAGATAAGAAAGATTTTAATCATCACAATTACAGGTTTATTGCCAACAAGTCAAGTAAGAGAATACAGTTACGTTCAATCAAGTTAAAACAAAAATCGCACTAATTTATTTTTTTTTATTTTTAAGAAATCAAAAAAAAGTGGAAAGAAATATTATCATTGGTTAGTTTACTCAATTCGGATAGTTAAGTTCGGGTAGTCAAATTTGAAATTTCTTTCACCCCCCCTTTTTTTTTTTACAAATCTTGGCGCTTCTTTGCATTTCTTTGCGCTCCTTGAGAATTATTAATTTGACCATATTTTTTATATTTTTTTTTTAAAAAAAAAACCAGAATTTTTTTAATATTACGCGTTTTATAGCTCCGATTTAGATGATCTTTTTCATTCATGCAATTCATGCAAATGTGAGTTTGTGACTTAAAATAACTTGAATTAATTTATTAATTGATTAATTGATTAATTGATCAGGTCAGGGTTGGTCTAGGTTTATGTAATTGTAATAATAACACAAAATTCACAAATTAGTAATTGGAAATATTAATTGTTTATCGATTAACTTATCATTATATTTTTAGTTTAGAATGATATAATTGGTTAAATTAAGGTAATCATGTTTTTTTTTGTTTGTTTTTATTTATTTTATGAAAAAAAAGAAAAATTTTTTTGTTTACCTTACAATACAAAGGTTAACCGCATTATTTATTTGCCATACGTTTTACCTTAAATTACCTTAAATCTAAAAAAGAAAATTATCGGGTTGATTCTTATGGAGAATTCCTCTTTTATTTTCGCGAAAAAACCAGAATGATATGATAAATTAATTGAGGTAAAATATTTTAATAAAGCACAACATGTAAACAATGAGATAAGATATTGTCTGGGTTCGTCAAATTTGTTCAATCTTTATTCGGGTTCTTTATTCCGGTTATTTAAGATGATTGATAGTGATTATATTGTGTACATCCTTTTTTTTAAGTGAATCTTTATAAAAGAGAATTCATCCTTTTTAATTGGTCTCCTTTTTTATCAGTTGATATAGAAAAATGACAATGTGTGATTATTAATTGGATCGTCTTTTGATTCATTTTTACGGTATTATTAAAAAATATATATACCTTATGTATATAATATATACATATATATTTGTATATATATACTGATATACAATTATATAATTTTTAATTTAAATCGATTTAATAATGAGGAAAATAAATAAAAATGTATGATAATTAAATGCGTGGCATTTACTTTTTAATCTATTTAAATAATGGGGGGGAAAAGATTTAATTAATTCAAAAAAAAAAAAAAAATGCAATTTTTTTTTTTTATACGTAAATATAACGTAATTATAATTAATATACGCAAGTACAATATACAATCGCAAGTACAATATACAATTATACGATATATAATACATTGGTGATAAATTAAAATAACATGCGTGTATTTAATTAAAACTTTCACGGAATTTTTATTGATCCGTGAAACTCCGTTTGAACGAATTATCTATAAACTCTATCAATATTCATTGATCCGTTCGGAAAGTTCAATTACATGTACAGCGACATGAAGGAAAAAAATTTTTTTTTAATTTATTTTATACATTTATTTAGTTTTATTTAATTTTTTATATTATATATATTATTATTATTATTATTATTATATATATATTATTATATAGTATATAGTATATAGTATAGTATTTTTTTTTTTTTTTTTTTATTTTATTTTATTTTATTTTATTTATTTTTGGTTTTATTAAACATCAAAAGTACTTAATTTGGAGATGAAAGAAGATCGGATAAAAAAAACTTTGAAAATCATCACACGTTAGAGAATACAGGTGTGTAACGTACATATGTCTTGATACATGGATATTTATTTTTAGTATTTAAAAAAACTAGATTAGGTAAACATACAAACAATTTAAACAATTTAATCGATAAACATGGGTTAATTGTACAGGGGCAATTAATCTCAATCCCAAATTAAGTAATACATTCAGGCGGTCATTTTTTTCCGAAACATTTTTAACGGGCCTTATTATTTACATTTAGGAAAAAGTTTTTCTATACGACTTTTTATGATTCTTTTCTTATCTTCTAATGATAGATATATTAAAAAAAGTTTTTATTTGTAATGTAATAAACCTTCTTTTTTTTTTTTTATGATTTATTTTTTTTTATTTTTACATTTTTTTTACATTTTTTTT